CTACCAGCCCCTGGTGCAGCTCCTGTGCCAGGAGGTGAAGTCGGGGCGCCAGGTGAGGGGTCTGTGCCCAGCCCTGCTGCAGCACCCACATCTCCCAGCTCTGTGCCGTGGTGCCTGCCTGCCTCGGGCTGTCACCTTGTGGTGCCTCTTCCCCCCAGGATGGCCAAGTGCACCTGGTCACCCTCCTGGACGAAACCACCACGGCCGAGTGCCGGCAGGAGGTCGCCATCAACTTGGTCAAACTCTTCCTGGGCCAGGGGCTGGTCAAGGAGTTCCTGGACCTGCTCTTTGAGCTGGAGCTGGCCAAGCCCTGTAAGGCTGGAATGGGGAGTGGACCTGGAGGCTGCCTAATCACCTCCTGAGGCTGCAAAACCTCCAGGGACTTTTGTGGGGATTTTTTGGGAGTGATGGTTGAGGCTCAGCCATCACACTGTGGGATCTGTTGGGCTCATCCCAGCAGTTCATGGGGTGAGGCTGGTGGAGGAGCAGGTGGTCTGAGGTTAGGAAATCCCCGTGTCCCCCATGGGGGCAGGGCACAGCCTCTGGGAATGACCCCCATGACCGCAGCTGCCCTGTGGCTCTTTTGCAGGTGAGCCCAACACTCTGTTCCGGAGCAACTCTCTGGCCTCAAAGTCGATGGAGTCCTTCCTCAAGGTGCCACACCACCCAAAACCTGCTCTTCCCAGCTCATCCTGGCCCTGGGCTGTTCCAGGGGAAGAACTGGGAGGCTGCTGTGCTTGTGCCTTCCCCTGGGGGTGGGAGGCTGGAGAAAATCCACTGGGTGACCCTGGGGGTGTCGGTGCCAAATCTGCGGCCCATCCCTGTCCCCTGTGGGGTCCCTCGGCAGGTGACAGGGATGCCATACCTGCACTTTGTCCTGGGCCCCACCATCGCCCGCGTGTTCGAGGAGAAGAAATACGTGGAGCTGGACCCCGGCAAGGTGGAGATCAAAGACGTCGGGTAAGGGGCTCGTGGGGCGGCGGGGCAGGGCTGGCACAGCGCTGGGGGTGACAGTGACGGTGCCCGCAGGTGCTCGGGGCTGCACCGGGTGCAGACGGAGGGCGAGGTGATCGAGCAGGGCCGGCAGCACCTCCAGTCCTACCTGGGCGAGCTCCTGGACGCCATCGTCAGGTCGGCCCCGGCGTGTCCCCCGCTGATCCGCGCCGCGTTCCGCCAGCTCTTCCAGCGCGTCGGGCAGCGCTTCCCGCAGCACCAGGTGGGGATGGCGCGGGGACAAACGGGGACATCCCCCGGGGACAGCGCTCTCTGGATGCGGTCCCCAGCTGTGGTCATTCCCTCCTGGGCGAGCAGCAGCCCCGGCCACCGGTGCATCGCTGCTCGTGGGGCTGTCCCACGCTGGGAGAGACCCTCACGTGTGTTCCCCACGCCCTCGGTGGTCGCAGCACGCCAAATTTGTGGCTGTCACCAGCTTCCTGTGTCTGCGCTTCTTCTCGCCGGCCGTGATGACGCCCAAGCTGTTCCAGCTGCGGGCCACCCACGCGGACGCGCGGACCAGCCGCACGCTGCTGCTGCTGGCCAAGGTGCGCCAGGGGCCCCCGGGCCGGCCTTTGGGGGGCCCGGCTGGCTCTCGCTGCGGCCAGCCGGCTCTCTTTGGGGTGACGCTGCCACTGCCGCGCTCCCCAGGCCATCCAGCTGGTCGGGAACATGGAGCCGGCGGCCGGGCGCGCCAAGGAGCCGTGGCTGTCGCCGCTGCTGCCCGCCCTGCAGGAGGGCACCGCCCGCATGCGGGACTTCATCACCCGCCTGGTGGGCACGGAGGAGGAGCGGGGCGAGCAGCAGGGCGAGGGGCGGCCGCTGGGGCCCTCCCCGGCCGCCGTGAAGGAGGGGCTGCTCCTCGTGCACAAAACGCGGGGCAAGGGGCCGCTGCTCGCTGCTGCCGCCGGCAAGAAGCTCCATTTCTGCCTCACCGGGGAGTCGCTGAGCTTCGCCAAGAGCCCCGGGGCGGAGGTACGGCCGTGCTGGGGGGCGGGGGGCGGCGGCGGGGTGGCGCTGAGCCCTGTGTGTGTGTGTCCCCTCCATCAGCGCATCGGTGCCATCGCCCTGGGCGACATCCTGGCTGCCGAGAAGGTGGAGGAGAAGAGCTTCGGCAGCTCCCACGTCATGCAGGTGGTTTACCTGGCCTCGGGCGGGCAGCAGGAGACGGCGTACCTGCAGTGCAAGGTGCGGCGGGGACAGCCCGCGCGGTGGCACGGCCCGGGGGGCGGCACAGCGTCCCTCTGACCGTCCCCAACCCCGCAGTGTGTCAACGAGCTGAACCAGTGGCTGTCAGCCCTGCGCAAGGTGTGCGGCAACAACCCGCGGGTGCTCCGCTCCTACCACCCCGGCGTCTTCCGCGGGGACAAGTGGAGCTGCTGCCACCAGCGCGACAGGACAGGTGCGGGCAGGTGGCCCCGGGGACGCTGGGGTGTCCCCAGGTGCGGTGACCCTGCTGTCCCGCAGGGCTGGGCTGCGACCGGACCCGGCACGGCGTCACCCTGCAGGACTGGAGTGACCCGCTGGAGCCCACGGTGGAGGCGCAGCGCCTCTTCCAGCACCTGCAGGGCCTGCGGGACACCCTGAGGTGAGCCCCGGCCGCGGGCCCCCGCCCTTCCCGCGGCCCTTCCCGTGCTGCCAGCTCCCGTCCTGCGCTCCCCGCAGGGACAAGTACTGGGAGCTGCTGGAGCCGGAGCGCGCCCGGAGCGGCCAAGGTGGGTTCGGTTCGGGGCGTCCCCGGGTCACAGGGCTGTGGCGGTGACCCGGGGGGCTGTGGGGGTCACCGTGGCTGTGTCCCGCAGGCGCTGCCGTGCCCGAGGCGCTGAGCCGGCTGCTGGCGGCGCTGGCGGAGCTGGAGCGCTGCCACCGGCGGGCGCAGCCCCCTCAGGCCGCGGGCCCGGCGCTGCTGCGGCTGCAGGCCTGAGGGACGCGCTCCTCGGCGCGGCTGGCAATAAAGGCGCTTTGTACCCACCCTGCGGCCTGTCCGTGTGTGTGCTGGGCACGGGGCGGGCTGGGGCTGCCCGGAGCCCTGCTGCCGGCACCGCTGGCACCGCTGGCACTGCCGGCACCGCTGGCACCGGGGACAGCGCCCGCGGCCTGCTGGGCCATCTCTGCTGGCAGCGCTGCTGGCCGGCTGAAAGCGCTGCTGCGGTTCTCTTGGTGGTGCTACCGATGGTGGCACCGCTGCCACTGCTTGGTGTCCCTGCTGGGCCATTTCTGGTGGCCCTGCTGCTGGCTCTGCTGGTGCCAGCACCGGTGGCTCTGCTGGCGGCCAGCTGTTGGCACTGGTGGCAGTGCCATGGCGCTGCTGGTGCCGGCTGGGCAGCGCGGCGGTGTCGCAGCGGGGGCTGATGGTGTCAGCGGTGTGTGCTCTCCCCCCGCCCCGGCGGTGCGGTGGCTCTGAGGCGGGAGCTGCCGTGTCTGTGCCGCTGTCCCCAGCCCCGCTGTCCCCGCCGGCGCCATTGCCTGCAGCGGGTCCTCCCGCCCGCCTGGGGGCGCTGTGAAGCCACGAGGACCATCGAGAGGGCGGAAGTGACGTAGAGGAAGCAAAGCGGCGGCCGCCATAGCAACGGCGGGATGAACGCGCCTCCGGCCTTCGAGTCCTTCCTGCTCTTCGAGGGCGAGAAAAAGTGAGGGGATAGCGGGGGGCGGCTAATTAAACACGGGGGGCGACTCACTAAACCCTAACCAGAGCGCGGGGGGCTGGGAGGGGCGGGGGGGGAAGCCCGGGCCTTTCCCCACAGGGCCCTGGATCGCTAACATCGCTGTATCCCTGAAACCGCAGGATCACCATCAACAAGGACACCAAGGTGCCCAACGCCTGCCTCTTCACCATCAACAAAGAGGACCACACGCTCGGGAACATCATCAAGTCGTAAGTGCAGGCGGGGAGGAAATTCCGGGGCAGCTTTGGGGTTTTCCTGCCCTTCCTTTCATTCCCTGGGGTCTCATTCCCGTTCCAGGCAGCTGCTCAAAGACCCGCAGGTGCTGTTTGCAGGGTACAAGGTGCCGCACCCTCTGGAACACAAAATCATCATCCGTGTGCAGACCACGCCCGACTACAGCCCCCAGGAGGCCTTCACCAATGCCATCACAGACCTGATCAGCGAGCTCTCCCTGCTGGAGGAGAGGTTCAGGGTGAGGCCACTGCTCCCCAGACTCCCTGGCCTTGCTGTGCTGTGCTGTGTGCCTCAGAGCTGCTGGGCTTTGGTTTAGCAGTTCATTGTGTTGGTCAGTGCTGCCAAAGCCTGGCTGCTCTCAAGTGCATTTTTATTTTCTCTGGATCTGTATTTTCCCTTCTCATCACTTCTGCTCCGTTTGTTTATGGATTTAGCCCCTGGATGCTCAGGGTTAATCTTCCTCAGACAAAAGCAGGGGGCTGTGACTGAGAAGTGACTCTGGTGTGCTGGGCAAAGGCAGCAGGGCACCAATTTGTAAATCAGTTTTGGTTTCACTTCCAGTGTTCTTTTTCTGGTTGCTGTAGAGATTTGCACTGTGGGTTGCTGTGATCCTCAGGAGAGTCAGGAATGATTGAACACCAACCCCCAGCTCAGTAACAGCTCTTAGCATGTGTGTTTTTGCTTTTGCTTTCCAGGTTGCCATTAAGGACAAGCAAGAAGGAATTGAGTAAAGTGGAGCAGACTGTTACTTCTGAGGCAGAATGCTGTGTCTGTTACTGGATGAAATATTTAAACCTCCATTCATGGCAAATATTTTCCCCCTTGTCCCACCTCTGTTTAATTTTTGACAGCAATATTTTGAATTTTGGTTTGTTTTTTTTTTCCATAGCAGACAGGCACTTTGCCAGGAGGATAAATGTCATGTTGGATTTGGTGGATAAGTCATTAAAGTGATTTTTAGTTTTCTAATCGGAGCCTTAAGGCAGATATTTGTGCTGGGCTGTTGGGGAGGTTGGTGTGGGTACAATTCCAGCAGGAGAAGCTGCTCAGTGACAGCTGCAGGTGAACTCTCTGCTTTTCCTGCCAAAAAGTCCAGGCACTGCCAGCTGAACTGGTACTTTGTTTTATTAGGTGTCATTTCTATAAAACAAATGCACAAATTGTGAAAACTTACAGTAAAAGAAAGCGGATGTTTACAATGAACTGATGAGTTGAACAAACTCTTACCTTGTTTTATTTTTTCTCCATCTGGCACATAAAGCTGCTCTAGAAAACGTTCATGGGCACATGGGGAACAGTCACTAATACTGCACTAGGTGGAAGCAGGGTGGAGCTGTGGCACGGGGACTAGGATTTCTTCCAGATGGCTGTTATGTTGACACTGGTCAGCACCACCAGGTAGGTGAAGGCAGGGTCTGCCACCACGTTGTTCACCAGGACCTCGGGGGGCTGCTCCCCGTTCACCCGCAGCTCCGGCCACTGGAGGATCTGTGGGAGAGCACGGGTGGGCACGTGCCTGGGGGACACGGGGCCCTGGGCCCCCTCAGGCACAGGCTCTGCCTTCTCCTGAGGGCTGCTGGAGCTCTGAGGGTTTAGGGCACAAGGGAAAACAGCTGCAGCCCCAAGGAACTGACTGGTGGCTTGGCAGTGCACTTCCAAAAACCCTGAGCAATCACAGAAAACATCTCCCTGTGACTGAGCAGCACCTTGTCACCCAGAGCAGAGCTCAGTGCCACCTCAGGGATGGGGACTCCCTTCCCATACCTGAATAACCCTTTCAGGGAAGAAATAATGGAACCCTGGCTCACTTCATACCTCAGTAATGTAGCTCCAGCCTTTGGAGTGTTTGTGATTGTCCTTTCAGAGGGACAGGCAAGGGCACAGTGACTGCCCAAAGAGGGGAATACTGGGCAGGAAATACTGGGCAGACAAAGGGTGAGTGAGCACAGGGAAGCACTGAGCCCTTTCCTGCCAGGGAATGTTCTCTCTGGCTTGCCTCCCCTCCCTGGGGATGTGGTGCCTGCACAGCTGTGCCTCTGTGCTCCTCAGTTTAACCAGCACTTTTTCAGGGCTGCTTTAGGAAGAGCTGCAGGGGGTGACAGATTTGCTTTGCAGCTCCTCGTTCCTGTCCCCAGTGAATGGCCTTGGCCACCTCTGGAGATTGCTTTTAATTGTTTGTGAGGGTCAGCTGTGGAAATACAAGGCATGTTCTGGGACAGGCCTGCTCAGGAGGCTGGGATCAGCTGCCCTGGGGTGGAAGGGAGACCAGAGAGCAGCTCAGCCCTACCTGTGTGGGAGAGATCCTCCGCTCCGAGCGCTTCCCCTTCGGAGAGCCCCAGGCCGTGGTGTAGTTGGAGAGGTTGTACATCCACACACTGCCCTTCTCATCCCCACAGAACACGTATTCTTTTGCTGTGGGAGCAGAAGAAAAAGCTGGGAAATGAGTGTGGAGCTGGGAATCTGCTCTGCTGTAAAGGACAGCTGCAGGATCCCAATGGAGGGTGCCCTATTGCAGCAAAATTCCCTTACTGGCACAAAAACATGTATCTACCTTACTCTGAAAGAATTCATTGAAGATAAACCAGCTCTCTTTAGTGTAGAAAAGCTAGTGCTAAATGCTTTGGGATTTCTCTTGACTTCTTTTAGACAGGTTTTGGGAAGTGCTGACTGGATCACGTTGGTTTGTTCCTTGTCAGTCCAAACCCAGCTGCCCAGGGTGTGACATCCCTGCCCACAGATGCACTCAGCATCCCAGTGGCTCCACAGGGCCAGCCCTGAGCTCTGTGCTGTGAAAACCTGTGCAAGAAAGACCCCCCAGCCTCGACTGTCCCCCCTTATCAGGCAGAAGGTGCAGCTGTAATTGTTTATTACTGGTGTTGTCTCCAGCCAGCTGGTGCTGGAGCTGCACTGCAGAGCTGCAGGGGGAGAGCAGAGCTCTGCTGAGCTCTGAAACCCAGGCCTCTGCCTCCAGCTCCACGCTGCTCCCATGGATCAAAGGAGAGCCATGGACAACTGGGCAAAGCATGAGGCAGGAAATGAGTGCTCCTACCTGGACAGGTGCTGAGTGTCAGGTAGGACATGTCTGTTGTGGACCACTCCAGCTCAGCCAGAACAACTGCAGACATTGTCCGCTGGCATCCTTTGCCCTTGGCATCAAAAGACTTGCTCCAGCTCCACAAGTATATGCATCCTGGTTTGGAGCTCTTGGAAACTGGGGAAGAAAGGAGGGGAGAGGCTGTGGCAGCTGCTGGGAAGCAAAGTGCATTGAGACAGAGGTGCTCCATCCAGAATATGGATTTCAAGCCATGGCATCTGATCCACCAGCAACTGTTTGCACCTGCTTTACCTTATTTCAGGATAATTAATTGGAGGTTGCAGAGATATTTTCAGTATTATGCTTATGTTCCTGAGCTGTAGAACAAGCATAAGCTGTTCAGAAAGAGCCAGCCCATGATGTGAAACCCACAATTCCCCTAAAAAAATACTGTTGCCACCAGCCCTTGAGCAGAAAGAGACTCCTCCCTTCCACATTGGCACTGTTTGGCCATGTGTGCTCTCAGCTGATTGCTGGTCCTGTCCAAGCATGGGTTTGCACTCCAGGCTACGTTTTTGGGAAAGACAAGTGACTGTGGGAGACAATTCCATCCTGTGCAGCCCCCCCAAAGCTAAAGAGGCTGTCACACCCCTTTCAGCCCCTCTGCTTGTCACGCTGGCTTCGCCCTGCACATGCTGAAGTGCCCCACTGTTTTTGGGATTGTGCTGTTATGTTTATACTCACCAACGACATCATCATTGAGAAAAGCCAAACCATCAACCCTGTGAGATGTTGTCATGCTTTCCTCACCAGGAAACTGGAATATGGCTTCAAAAGGCCTAGAGCAGGGGGGAAGGGTGAAATCAGCCAAGTGCTGAACAGCCAGCAGTGAAAGGGTACCTGGCTGCAGAGCCCAGAAGGAAACCTGTTTGTTAGTGAGTCTCTTGCCAAGCTCAGGTGAATTCCCAGTTGAATTTACACTTTTGGTCACATGGGTTTACTAGTTCAGCAGAAGCCTGTTTGCTCAAGAGATTGCTGCACTCCATCAGCATCAGGATATTTGTCAGCAGGGCATGACTTTACTTGCTTCTTCCTTGTAATTTTGTCCTGAGCTCTCACAGGGTCCCAGTTTCCTGGGTTACCTCACGTACCCGGAGCAGGGGAGGCCTCACTGTGAGACTGGAAATCAATCCAAAAGTTTACACTCCGTTGCACTACCTGGAGATGACACACCCTTAAGTTTTGGGGTATTGGATTACACTCCTGCCAGCCTTCCTGCAAAGCAACCTGCAATAACTGCAGCTTTAATACAAGCTCTGAACAGTCCTTGAGCATCATGCTCCTATTTTTTCTGGCCACTCTGGGAAGGGGAGGATGTTTTAAGTTTGGTAGGATGTGCAGCTTTTGCTCAGACCTCCTCAGTTAAAAATCAAGCCTTTGCTAGGACTATCGCTTCTTGTTCTGGAAAGCAAATGCAGCTTGTGGTTCTCACCTGCTTTTTTGTCCCTTATCCAGTTTTATGTTCCAGGCAAAACAGCCATTTTCACAGCCTGCCAGCAGGTACTGCTCTGGGCAGGTGGGGACCAGGGCAATCCGTAGGGGGATGGAGGCTGTTTCCAGCACCAGCAGCTGGCTAAAAAAAAGCAGAGAACAAGCAGTTAAGTGGTGCTGTGATGTGATAGTTACAGGCTCTTGGACTGGCCACATCTGGTTTTTGAACCTTTACCTTGCTTTGAAATTGTAGTCGCAGTCTGGAATCCCAATATCCCAGAGTGCAATTCGCTTGTCATAGGATGCAGCTGTGGGACACAGAAGAGAAGCAGGTAGTGACACCGCTGCTCATCTGGCTCTTCTCGTGCTAGCTGGCACTTCTGCCTGAGTCACAGTCACCCTCTAGGGCTCCAGAGAGCTCATTAAGGCACAGCAGCAGTCCCTGAGCTCCTGGCCCAGCACTTCCCAGCCATTGTCACACATGCACAGTCAGTACTTAGTGTTCTCATCCTGTGCTCTAAAGGGGCAGATAAAACAGTTTGTTTCCTGGTGTCCATTACTGACTTGTGGCTTCACAAGGTCTTTAGTTAGTGGCCCTCTGAGCTTGTTTCTGGTCAGGGCTTCAAGTGGAATCTAAAATATGAGTTCCAGCCTCTACTCTCAGGCAGACATCACTTTATTGCACATATCCATGGCTTACTGTGTTCACATCCACAGCAGCTTCCATTGGGAGAGTTAAGCACTGACAAAGGGTGAGAAACATGTCACCAAGCTGATAAAACTGTTTTGCTTCCAGTGTAACAGATTACTCTGAGTAACCTGGACCCTCATCAGATGGCAATCCTCAAACTCAGAATTTATTGGTGTCCCCTCCCCAAAAATGATGCAAAGAATCTCCCTTAATTACTCCAAATTTTTATGAGTCTTGCTGTCCACACCGTTATATGGCTGTGCTACCAACCTCCTTATTCCTTCCACCATCCTCCTTATCCTTTCCTCTGCTTCTGCCTTTGGCACTCCCGAGATTCTTCTTGAAAAGTATCCCCTATTCTAAAAACATTCCACTTTTAATGGTTCATGTAGCACTTTAACCACTCCAGGATGTGGGTAATTGTAGGCAAGAGAAACAATGTGCTGTGGGGTGCAGGTGTGGCCTGAATGGCTCTGTACCAGCTCACTGTACAGCCTGACAATGCAGCTGCAATTTGTAACATGATGGTTCATTACCAGTCCAAGAGGCACAGCGTCTGTGAGCCCTACTGTGTGTGGCAAAGCTCTCCTTGACATCCGGATCTGAATAGAAATCTCTGTCGAGGCATAGAACTCATATTAAAAAAATCAAAGTCAATTAAGCACATTGTTGGATAAAATGAAACCCAACAGCCCATAATAGGCTGCTGTGCTGGAGGAGAGCCCTGCCACTGCCTGGCTCCCAGCTGCCTGCTCTGCCATTCTTCTTACTCATCCCTGTGGAACAGATCCACTACTGGGCTTGTTTGTGGCTAATGTGTGTGTGACAGCCACCCTGAGAGCCACCAAGGGAGAAACAGGAGCTGCTGCACCTCAGCTAAAGAGGCAGGCTCTGGCTGAAACACGCTGTTCCTGCTGGAGATTGCTGCCAAAGGAGAGGAACAATGTTCTCTCCCTAATGCCTGTCTGTGCCTTTTGTTTGTGTGTCCCTGCTTGCCCTGGTGACAATTCCCCTTGTTAAGGAAGCCCTGACTTTTCCACATCACAACTAAAACCAGAGATTCTGAAGCAGACTTACTGAAGAGGTGGGTCTCCTGGGTTGGGCTGAAGCAGACAGTAGCAATGGGTTTTTTGTGAGCCTTTATCTCTCCGTAGCAGAAGTCGGCTGCCACGTGGATCAGTTTGACAATCCCTCTCCTCCCTGCAGCTGCCAGGATGTTGTGAGCTTTCTTGCGGCTGTCGCTGATCACCATTGTGAGGGTTGTCCATGCCACGCTGAAGAACTCCTGGAACACAGGGAAAACAAGGCTGGGGTGACAGAGAACAGAGAACAGCCAGCAGGGTGGTGGCTGTTAGCTCAGAGAAAAGACAACTGTCACAAGTGCTACTCAGGTGGAATGACACGACTGTTTAAGATGGAGCATCAAAACTCAAAACAGCTCTCAGAAGAACATAAACTAAAGAAAGAGGATGTTTATTACTCTGTGCTGTCAAGCAGAGTCAGCAGCCAGACACACCTGTGTGAGGACTGGCAGGCTAATCTCCTAAACTAATAAGAAAATAAACCCAAACTAGGCTAAAAGGATAAGCAAGCAATGTTTATTATCTATCTTCATCTTAACATCTGTCCATACTAACACTTTCAGACCTCTTTGTGATATGTATCACTACAGATTGTAATTATTACAGATTGTGGTATTGCAATTATTACAGATTCTGGTATTCCCATTCAATGCTTACCCTTCTCACTTGCAACCCACCTCTGTAGCCACTTTATACTTTTTCAGCACTGTCCCTGTCTCACAATCAATCAGACAGACAGATTCCCCTCCACAGGTTGCCACGGTTCTGGAGGAGCTCACAATGGGATCTGAAAGAGGAAAAGAACGCGTGAGAAGTTCCCAGGTTCAGGGATAGCACACGAAGACTGCAGCTTATCACTGCCTGGTGCTCTCCCAGTCTCCTGTTTTCAAAATCAAAAGAGAAATATGTAAGCAAGTCTCTTCCTGACAATGGAGACTACAGCTTGAAGGAGCAGGGATCTAAGGCATGGAGTTCCACTGGGATTCCAGAGCCAGGTGGTTCTGGGAATCCTGCAAACTTCTTTAAGAGCTCACCTTTCCTGGCTCCAGAGTCTAGCACTGGCTCGAAGACACAGGACCAGAGCTGCGTTTTAAAATCCTCGCGGCTGTTGCCTTTACTGTGACACTGAAGAAAATGCAATGGCTCTGCACTGACATCCTCCTACAATAAACCATCCACATTTAGAAAATTCATTCCCCTGACATGGTTTGCCTGTGATTGCCTTGACAGAACCCTCTGCTGAACACAGCAATCCGAGTTAAACTCAAATATTTTTCAGCCCATCTGTGCTATGGAGAACAGGAGAGACTGAGGTGCCACAATGCTCAAGACTCCTAAAGCAGCAGGGAACTGTTTAGCAAAGATGTACCCAGCAGACCCCAGCAGAGAACCCCATTTCCTAGAGCAGAGAAATGTGGAAAACCCTTTAGATCCCCACTGGCCCAAGCTGAGGGGGAAAACACCTTTCCCCATGCAGCCCCTGAGTTGAGAGCAAGGCTTGCCAGTCCCATTTCTAAGCACAGGCTGTTTCAGTGCACCACCTCGGAGCGCTGGTCCATCCATCCCCCAGAGGGGATCCACTGGGGTCTCCCGGGGGCTTCCTTCTCTCCCTTGATGCCTCTGAGAGATTTAAAACAATGACAAAAAAAAACCAAACCAAAACTCACAATGTATTTGGCCAACTATGAGCTCCAAGCTGTGCAGAGCTCTGAAGAAACCTGAAGGCAGCTCCTCCCCCTATAAACCAAGAGGCCCAAAGCCAGTCCCAAGGACGTACCTTGCGCTTGGAATTCTTCACGGGGGTCAAGATAACCACACTGTTGTCCTGCTCCTGGCTTTTCTGCTCCCCTGTCATCTGGCTGGATCTTCTGTTGCTTTGTCCCTTGGGAAGCTGCTCTCCATTCTTCTGTGTCCCTTCAGCTTCCTGCTCAGGGGTTGCCTCCTTGGCTGGTTGGTTTGATGTTCTTGGTTTATCAGGAGCTGGGTCATCCTCCACATGACTGGATTTTCTGGCATTATCTGCAGCCTTCTCCTCTGTGTTTGCCTGGGTCTTGGACCTCTTATTTCCAGGGCTTGATTTTGAATGATTTCTTTTCCTCTTGCTGGGTGTTACTGTGACCTATAAGGCAGGTTGTGGTGTTGTCAGGTTCTGCATAAGGTTTTCAGCTTCCCCGAGATGTGCAGATCATTTGTAAGTTAAAGGCATTAATTATTCAAATGCAAGTATCCTCCCACAGTTACAGACTGGGTTCCAGGAATCAGACAGCCCAGAGCTGCAGGGTTCCTAGAGGCAGAAGCTAATGAAAACTACACAGCCAGACTTCTTTTCAGCTCCCTTCCCCTGTCTCAGTTATTTGCAATTTATATACGATGTGGAAAAACAAATCTGGCTTATGTACCACAGGGGTTCAGTCTGCAGCCATTTCCAAGCAGGCAAACACCAGCAGAGCCTGGCCAGGCATCAGCCCAGCTCTCTAATTAAAATATTTCTTCCTAGTGGAGAGGTGGAGTGAGTAGGATTGCACTTATGAAATGTTTTTGGTCCCCTGTGAGAATGGAAGCTCTCTGAGGGAGCAACTTGACCTTCACATTTCTGGGAAAGCTTCAATCTGGCTGTAAAGAAGAACCCTGAGCTGCTGGATACAGGCTGGAGCCTGAGACTGCCCCTGTGGTTACCAAAGGGTCATAAATGTGAAGTGACAAGAGCTGCTGAATTCCCAGGAAACAGAAAGAACATTGCTAATGTAACTGGAAAAATCACCTACCTGAGCCACGTCTTCTGCAGCTTCCCTGGGGCTTTTTGCAGCTTCCCTGGGGCTTTCTGTGCTTTCTTCCTCATTCTCATCCATCTTTTCCTCTGGTTCACTATCAGAGTTTAACTCCAGACCTAGTGAGTTTGCCAGAAACTCTTCTGCAATCATTTTCACCTGAGAAGCAAATATGTGGATATGTTAAAAAAAAAAAAAGATGACTACAAAAAAGCCACAGCATGTCAAGCTCTGATGTGTCATGGCACAAAGAGCTGCTCTGCTGAGTTTTTAATATCTGCTCCCACTATTCTGTGTGAAGTTCACAAGTGGTGGAGGAGTCCCCAGCTGACATTACATGACCCAAGAGCTTCACTTTGTCATGGGCATAAAGAGTACACAGCTGTGGAAACAACAGCACAGCAATAAAGCAAGACAAAGGAGAGATGGAAGTCTCAATTGTATGTATGAACAAACAAATTAAACAAATGTTACAAAGTAAATGGTGTCTTTCCCCACTGGGAGCAGCTACACTTCTGTCATTATCTTCACTCTTTCATCAAGAATAAAAGTTACTATTAAACTAATTTGCAAATAAGTAAGTATTAAGGATACTGCAGTCTGATTAATGAGTACAAGTATCATTATTGCTTATGAATTAAAAAATAATATTTAATGACAGCTATTTCAACTTGGTGCACATTTAGTCCTGGTAACTGCTTAACAAAGCAGTGAAGAAAAAGTGATACTACTTGTGAACAAGAGCACCCAAACCCATGGAGTGTTTTAATGCAGTCCATGCAGAGCAGGAGCAGGGTCCTTGCCTGGAGAGCAGCAGGGTGGGGGGGTTGTGACCTACCCGCCAGCGGGTGAACTCGCTGAGTGAGCTGGGCCCATACACCACATTGGTCTGCACTGACTTCAGGAACTTTTTCTTGATGGACTTCACCTGCTCAGCTGTGTATTTCTCAGGGAGTTGGTCACGGAAGAATTTTTTCCAGTGAGCAGTAACCTAGGCAGAAAGACTGAATTATTTCAACAGAAAAGCACAAGAGAACTTGTGAAAGCATTTAAGAAGTGGCCAACCCTGAGTGCTGCACCCGACGTGATGGAACTGCTTTAATTTATTTCTTCATGTTCAAATGACCACTTCAGCGAAGGAGAAAGTCAGTTCCTCTGTACCAAGCTGGAGTGAGTGTGGCTAAGCAGACAAAAGGCTGCTGACCTACAGGATGCTCACCTGCCAGCACAGTTTCCCATGGGAGTTTCTGGTGAGCAGTAACACATCCATCACCATTTGGACCCAACAGACATTTTTACATTGAGGCACAGGACTAAGAACTGGGCAGGCAGAGACAAATAACATCAGGGAAAGGCATCAGGGCAGAGACACCACAAAAAGAACAGCACAGGGGAGTGTTTGGTGTCTCATTAAACAGCCAGCCATGATCAGTTGTCTGGGACAAGAGGCTGAGCAGCCCTCACAGAGACCCTTTGAGGTTCACAGGTTTTACACAGACAACACTCAGCAGAACTCATCCCTCAGTTTTCAGGATCTGAGTTTTCTCCCACTGTTACACAGAAGGGATTAAGAAGGTCAATTAAGTAGAATACAAACAGTAAGAGCAATAATACACAAGAACAGCCAGCCAATCAAACCTTTTTCATAACTGAACAATAATTTTGCCCAAGATCACAATGATGCCTTGTGGGGAGAATCTGTCACGAGCTAAATTGTGAGTGAAAATAGAGTTCTAAACATTCACAACCGAAGAAGAAAGAACAAATCCTTGTTCCTGGTGAATGCTGGAAAAAGCAGGATTATCCAGAGCCTGGTTTTGTGCTCCCCATTCCTGGGGCCTGGACAGTAACTTAAATTAGATGGGAAGGTGTTTGCAGCTGTTTTGGCAGCACCAGGCTCCTCCCATTCCTGAATGATGATCAGAGTGACCTGAAAAACGACAGGATCAGACACAGAGCTGGCTGGCCCTGCTCCTGACTTAAACCAAAGGCAAATTGCCTGCACAGAACAGGTAGAGCAGATGCCAGCAGTGACCAGTGAAAGCAGCTGTAAAACATCTCCTGGGTGGCCATTCTGCAGGTTGGGCTCAGATCATACCACAGGCATTGCAAACCACTTGAAACTTGTTTGCAGCTCTGTCACTACACTGAGCACAGGATTTAGTTATTTTTGAGGTGTTTAGAGGCTAAGGAAATAGCCCACATCTTACCTTGCTGGTGAGTTTATGGCTGTTGGCACGTCTCACATGGTTGGCCAGTTTGGTTATGTCCTTGCCATTGAGCAGACGAAGATTTTGCAAAAGAAACATTACTTTATAGTCATCATTGAGCTAGAAAGAGAAAACACTGGAGTTACAAAATTTGTACACATGGTGCATGCTTTACCTTTAGTCCTTGATTAAAATACAGCCTCTATGAGAATTATATATTTAGTAAGGAAAAGCCATTCAATAAAATCTCCTCAGGATTTTCAACTTGAATTTCACATTTTAGGTGTGGATTAATGTTCTCCATGAGTTGGGATCTTAAACTGCAGACAGAGCTGCCCAGCCCTCAGGCAGTGCTCACATCCAGCACAAAGTGGGGGCTGTGTAACTGCTCATCTGCTGGGGCTGAGTGCAAGGCTGGGAGCTGTGTTCATATCCCTGAACTCTAACACAGGGGAAGGCCTGTCCTGACAGTCAAGGAATTCCAGCAGGAATTCCTTGGGTCAGATAGGTCACCATGCAGCCACACACATGCTTATTTGCTGTTGCACACTGTTAGTATGTGGGGATGGTGAGTGGCTGATGCCAGTTTACAGCACAAGTAAAATCAGTTGTGGATGTTTGACTTGTACAGTCAGCAGATCCTCTTGGGAGAAGTCAAAACCTAAACCAGACTAATCATCAAGTTTAAACCCTCATCTGAGGACCCACTCTGCTTTTCCAGAGCAGAGAGGGCACTAAACCTAACACAGATATTAGGAAATAGAACTAGCATTAGATATTAGGAAAAAACCCTTTACTGTGGGGATGGTGATGCACTGGCACAGGTTTCCCAGAGAAGCTGTGGCTGCTCCATCCCTGGGAGTGTTCAAGACCAGACTGGATGGGGTTCTGAGCAACCTGGTCTAATGGAAGGTGTCCCTGCCCATGGCAGGGGGTGGGACACGATGAGCATTAAAGTCCCTTCCAATCAAACATTCTGTGATTCTATGTTTCTATAAGGACATCTCTACACAGCCATTACTATCTTTTACACTAGTAAAATTTTTAGTATGAGCATGAGGTACTGTACCTGATACTGCACCTAAGACAGGACTTTGGCCTAGAGAATCAGGAGCTCAAGACACAGATTTTAATATCTGAGTGGTTTTGGGCAAGTCACCTCTGCAGATTGAGAAATAGTGGCACAAAATGGTTAAATGTCACACAAAGGCTGGCTGCTTTCTCAAATGCCCTCGCACTTGCTGCCCAAGAACAATATATAAGAAGTTTGCACAAGTGCTGTTTGTTTGCCTCTCTGTTTAATGTAAGGAGGGGGGTAACTCACTGTCAAGTACACATTGTTCTCATAGGTCAGCTCCTCGAGCAGAGGGAACTGTTTCAGAGCAGTTACATCTTCCAGCTTGTTATTGTTGCAGTTCAGGACACGCAGATCAGGGAGGGTTAGGCTGTTGGGAAATTTGTCCAGTAAATTATCAGAGAGATCAAGTTTCTGCAGGTGCCTGAGGCGGGAAAACAAGCGCGGGTCTAAATCTCCAGTCTTCAGCTGCAGCTTGGACAGGCTGAAAACAAATTAAAAAAAAACCAAAAAACACCCATGAACTATCTGCAGCTCACTGGAGGAACAAATGCTGATTTCATAGCAGAGACAGTCCCACCTGGTGGCATCTCAGTCCAGCACAACTCACTGGGTACAACTGACCAATCCTGGTTTTTCTGCTGTGGTTTTTTTTAGGGTTAATTCAACTATCTCTTGAATTATCACTTCCTCACAACAGAAGCACCATTTTGTTAGCTTTTTTAGTTTTTACAAAGATAACCCAAAAGTGTTTTAAAAATTTTTATTCTATTATTAATCTCAATAAATAGTAAAACACAAGAGATATAAAACTAACTTATTTCTTAGTTACAATAATTTATAAATGTTTTTCAACTTTCTATCAAGTTTTAAGAATTCTTTTCAAATCCATTTCCTACACTGGTGGCAGCATTCTGGATTGTGAGCACAGTGTGGGACAGCTGATGTGTCTGAGCTAGCAGCCACCATCAGAGACTCAGATCCAAAGTACAATTAACCTGCAATTCAGATAATCTCCTAGGGGTTACTGAGCTGTCTGGGAGCAGTAAATCACCAGGAAAGGTCTTATTTTACAGAAAAAAAATTACCACACCTTTCAATGGTTTGGTATTTTATTCCTGTGCAATGTTGATCCAACAAGACAAGCTGTGGCAGTTCAAGACACTCCAGCCTCAGTCTACCCTGTCCATAGAATGCACTACAGTCATTATTTCACAGTTCATGCCCAGTGCAGAATGTGTCCCCAAATAATCTGGCTGGTTTCAAAGAACTAACTTGACAAAAAAAGGTGTTTTTTCCATTTCTTTTATAGTGAGTTTTGCTGCAAAAGCTTCCAATGGTAAATGTAGAAATTCACCTAACAAAATCCCAAGACTGCCCCCAAAACAGAACTTTGTCCTGAAAGAAGAAGTGGTACAATATTGGTGAGGGGAAAAGAAATATTCCTTCTCTGTAAGAAAGTGAAAACTGCATAATATAAGCAGGGTCACTTGGATTTGGTTAGATCATTTAGGTGAGCTAACCAAATCCAAAGGCAGCTTCCAGTCCTGGCAGCCAACATCTCTTGAGGGCACAAGCTTGGGTTCCTTTAACAAAAAGAATCTCTTTCTCTAATAACCAGTTAAAAAAATAGGCTTCTAGATATTAATGAAGTGTGAATAAATGAGACAAATAAATCCAGAAAGCAAGATCCTTTTCCCTTCACTTGCCATCTCAGAAGAGCAACCAGCCAGTCAGAGCTGGTAAGACAGGTTGAGGACAACCCAGCTGGCTGCAGAGCTGTGACTGTGGTGTCCTTTTGGGGAAAAACTCAATGGTGCTCCCCAAACAGACTTTCTGAAACACATCACAGTATGAAGCTGCATGGAGAAAGCCACACTCCAAAAATCCACAGCTTCAAACATCTCCCCACCACTCTGTTACCCAGATTACTGCAGCTGATACTCAGAGAAACATGTGAGTCTCTCACTAAAAATAATTACTTTAGCACAAGGCAAACTAAAAGAAATAACATTAAAGAGTACATGTGAAACCCAAACCCCTGACATCAGCAACAAAACAACAAAGGTGCCAGCCAGAAAGTGGCCAGCTGAGCCACTTGGATTGGCCAGCTCTGTGTTAAACACAGGAAGGACACATATTTACAATGACCTCTGTTAAGGACCTGCATGACAAAACTGTTTTTAGTGGTTTTTAAGTGATTCAGAGTTTATTCTCTCCCTCTGCAATGTTTGAGGTAGCTCTGTGCTTTGATACTCTTTTCTTTTAAGTAAAACAAATGTTTATGGGAAGAAAGAGGCACAGATAAAAAGGCACTGCCAGGCTGAATTCATCTGGAATTTTCCGTGGGCCTGTCTGCACTTACTTGAGCGTCTCGATCTTTCGGAGCCTCGTGGATCTTGGAACTGCTCTTTCCAAAAGAAGTTCTGTGGTAATTTTTGACATCTTTAACCTCCACCTCTCTGCTGGAACCACCAATCAGTCAGCTGTAGGATTTCTTCTGGTTACCTTGATTAAAAAAATAGGAATAAGAGGAAATATTTCAACAGCTCCAAGGGAGGGAAAAAAAATTTTTATGAGGTTATCTAGTGGTTTTGCTGCTGTGTTGGAAGTCACCTTTTCCACTTGGTTGACATGAACATGGCAGAGACTATTATTAGATTGGGCACAGGCTCCCAGCACGCTGATCCAATCCATCTCCAAAACAACAGGGATACATCCCGTGGCTGTTGGAGTGACAGACCTGCTGCAGGTGAAAGCTGCCCATGAGTGATGGCACTCGGGACCAGGACAGCATCACAGGTACCTGTTTGTGCCTCTGCCGGGCTCTGCTCCAGGAATTCCAACACTCTTTCAAACAAAGAGCAGCAGTAAGAGTCAATGCACCTGCTGTGAATGGTTTCCTCCCAAGAAAGTGACACTGAGCTCACTGGCCTGGCCAACTGGACTGACTCTTGCCTGATCACTTCTAAATTCCCAAAAATTTTGGAAAACTGAATTCACCAGCAGAAATTCAAGCACACACCAATCAAGGACATCATTTACTCAAGGACAAAAAAAAAAATCAACAGAGTTCTCTGGTGATTAACTGATGTTTCAGTAGACACACAGACAGAGGAATATGCTGATATTTGGAATAACAGTGCTGACAGGGCCAAAAGAGCTCTACAAAATGACTGGTCCAGGGCTTCCCACTCTTCCTGACAGAGATTCCAAGAGAGGGAAATAAAAGAGAGCAGAGCTCCAAGGCCAGGCTCGCTCCTGTCTTTCTGTGTTAGATCAGTGCTGCCCAAATGCCACTCCAGCACATCGTGAGGGGCACACGGGGCACTGAGCCATCCTTGGGCTTGGTTTCAGCAGCACCACACACCCACAGCACCTGCAACATTGTGTGAAGAGCAAGAGGCACAATAATGTATACACTGAAATGTTGTATACAAGCACAAAGAGCTGAACCGAAACCCAGTTCAAAGAGCAGCTGTTTGCGATTTGATCCTTCAAACGACAGAGCTCTCCCTGGGAGTCAGAGCACAGGGTCAGGCTTGTCCAGCCAGACCTCCCTCAGCTCCTGTGTCCACAATAAAAACGTGACACCGGCGACTGGACGTTCCCATGGCGCTGTCTTTGGCACACTGACCCAGCTGTACAGGGCAGGAGCCCGGGGAAGGCCAGGCACGGCACGTCCCAGCCCAGAGCAGCGGCGGTGCTGCACGGGGCACACTCGGTAACCGCGGGGCTGCCGAGCGCGGTCACTGCCCCGGCAACAGGCCCCTCCTGCCCCACCGCGGCCGGGCATCCCTCTGACCTGAGCCTGCTCGCCTGCAGCTGCCCCGCACCGCCCGGCGCGGCCCGGGACGCGACGCCGCGGCGGCGACAAGGCCACGGATGCCGGGCTGTCCCCACACGCCGGGCCGCGGGGTA